CCAATCGGGATGTGGTCTTCAGTGCGACGTCTTCGGGGTTTCCGGTTTGCTTGTGTGTGCGTGTGTTTGGTTCAATTCGGTACGCAAACTGTCTTTTCCGGACGCGAGGCTCATATGTGTGCACCATTCGTGACCTCTGTTGGCAGTAATCTGTGATCATGCCGCGCACAGAGTGAATGGCCTCAGGCAGTGGAGGGCAATTAGATTCAGAAATTGTTGATAGATGCAAAGCTGAACTGCCTTTGCACTTATAGTGTGTTAAAATGTCTAAAGGAATCAGGGTACTTTGCGTTCCGACCTGATAGGTGCTCTCTTACAGAGAGGTCCGATGGGCTCTCAATACATTTTTCGTTTATCCAGCACTGAGACACGGGGTTAGGAGCCCGCTATATCCTCATCTAAAGCATACGTTCACTAGTCCATTTAAGTTAGACAGAAACGCATTCCTCTGTTGTTAACGTTATTGGCTAAGTTATAAGGCATCTGCAGCCGTGGAACCATACGCTTAACTATCTAAATGCTTTGACTGGACTTTTTTGTCGCATTCTGCTGCGTAAAAGGCGGAAATATTCGAACCACTAGCAAAATCTTCCTCTTGTGTTTGTATACGAAATACTACTTAAATAGACCTAAAGAATTGGTTGCACCACATAAAAAATACCCCTATATGTGAGTGTGATAGCTTTCACTTGAAGATCGTTCCAACAGCATGCGACAAATTCAGTCTGTCCTACCTGGCCAGAAAACTTCAAGGCTGACTTACACCTGGACTCGCTATAGGCGCTGTGGTGACAGCCTCCGGACAGCCCTTCGCGGTATTGGACCTGTACTCGTCCGACTACTAGCTTCTTCCAACCTAATATCCACTACTTTGGCACAGAATACGCCACCTGATGTCTTACTTTATCTCTTCTTTCCCGAAACTGGGTCTGAAAATCGTAGCGGCTATGGTTCCCCTAACAACTTAAGCTGCTGAGATATATCCAACGAATTCTATAATATATTCGCTCCACAAACAGAAGCAAGGTTTTTGCTAAGTTAGTTGCTTACGTTCGTATTCACCCCACTACTGAGCGGAGTTGAAACTAAAAACCATACAGTCCGTCAGGCGAATTGTATTTAAATTGCTCCATGCCAACGGAACTACTAGTGCAACGACTAGAAGGAAATGAAACGTCGGCGGTAAAACAGTTATCTAACATTGTCCGAACATGTCTGCATTTTAAAGTTGCGGCTTGCCTGTATTCAAGCATCTAACAGGTACTTTCTTTGAAAGGCCATCGGAACACTTGTTTGCACAAATGCATATCTAAGAGCAGCTTTACCATTCCTGTTTTCTGAGACTCTACAATATGACCGTCGTGTATTAAAGTAGGGTGATTTCTTTGGCGCACCAACAATTATCATTTAGATAACTCAAACTTGACTAGTTTTCAAGCAGGTTTTTCTTCCTTCTATTCCGGGAAAAATAATACCACAAAACATGTGCATAAATAGGCGACACTATTGCGGTGTGTTTTAGGCTAACAAGGTTTGGCCCTAACTGTTGCGATATTCCAAACTCGGTTACTTAGGAGAGTAGAAAGAAGTCTTAGGAAAGCCAGAGTAGACGGTAGAGTATATTCTGTACAGAATAAATGGGAGGAGGCAGTAGGAAATTGAATAGCAGACGATCGTACAATCGCGAGCCACCGGACGGCGTCTGAAGTCATGTCTGTTCGGCAGTCGTCGCAGGAGGTCCTTTGTGAGTTGGCCTGTAATTGGCTGTCACTGAGGCCGGAAGCAGCAAGCGCTCCCAAAATGCACTTTGAATTGAGCTAGTCACGACAGGCGTTTGCAAGTGCACTTCGTGGGGAGCTAGCAATTACAACGCTGTTTTCTAGAGCATGCAAAATATCCTGCCTTCGTAGGAATAATCGTCAGAAAAAAATTGCCCTCTCAGGTACATGCAGATAACCGAAATGTATTATTCAATAGGGTGAGATTTGCCTGTTGTCTGGATTACAACATTAGCTCGCAGGGCGCTGGTTGGTTAAATTTTATAAAACTTGAAAATGGATTGATGTTCGAAAGGGTGATCCTTGATCTGGTTTATTTTCAGAACAACCCCGTATATGAACGCTTGATACCTAAATCTTTTATGGTGAGTGTTAAGATATGATTGATTGTGCAGAATGTGCAGGATAGAAACTTTGCCTTAATTCTGCATAGCCCTGCTGGTAGTACGTATCGTTTAACTGACTAAAATACCACGGCCATGGACATCAGGTCTACATACATGTCAGCAGATATGTGAATTGCATAATTGCTGCAGTTTTGCTTAACCTACGCTTCTCACTGTCTGCCTGGTAGCACTGGTGTTGTTTGTGAGTAATATTAACCGAATAAAAGTGGGCTAGGATGGCCTTGAAGTAGCCAACCCCGTAATTTGCCTGACAGCCTGTCAGAAAGCTTAACCTGGTAAATTTACTTTCTTAATGCAGACTGCCGAATAATAGTGCAGTCTGCCAATTGTGGAACTTGAGCAAACGTCGCTAAATGCTACATGACTATCCCCCCTGTTTGCATCGCATGTAATCTAGCCTATTCAATCGATTCTAGCTGCACAGCCTTAACTGTAATTTTGCATTGTTTTGGATGCTTATTTTACCCTTGCTGAAAGGCTAATGACCTTTTGGTACTTTGGAATCTTACCCCTTAAACGGCAATCAGAATGTTCAATTAGTTCACCGTAAAGTGGGGGGTGGTGGTCTTGGAAGTGCTCCGGGAAGAAGTTACTCCTTCTGCAAAATTATCGTGCCTCGCCCTTAGTGGGAATGCGCATTTTGTTTGCTGACAGACTTCAGAGTAAAGCATGCTAAAAACTCTTTTTCCGTGACAACCGGCTGATACATTTAAGGATACAGCTTGTGGGTTGGTTACTTTCGCCATGCTTCAATTTTATTTCACTGTTTTTCGTTAGATGGAGTATTGAGGATATTCGCACATTAGAAGCAATTTGCTTTCAATTGCTACACAAGCTTTAAATACTGTGCCAGTGAGGTGTGCTCGCAAGACTTACATAGGTTACACAGGTTGGCTAGTGTTTTATTCATAATTCCCGGATTTACATGCAAAGTTAACTTCGTTCGTCACTTTTCTCCTATCTCTGGACACGCAGAAAAAGAGAGAATTTTCTTTTCTTTCTTAACTTGCCATAATCCATGGAATTTGTTTCGTGATTTAACGGGTCAAACTTCTCGGTGTGGACCTCAGTCAGACATGTTGTTGATTTGATTCGAAAGGCATGCGATCTTTCATGAATCTTCGGCTGGTCATCAGTCTAGATATCTGAGGATATTATTTCTGAAGGGGGTAAACAAACGCCAATATGTGGGAGCGAGAAAAATAAAACGGCTGAAGCCAACCATCCGGTAAAAATTTTGGATTCGGTAAAAGCGGCCGATTATAATAAAGGCGGTTTGGATTGCTGAAAAGAAGGCGCATTTATCCGATGTACCGGACACGTATTTGGTTTCTTCATTAGCTATGAACAAACTAACAAGCGCAGATGATAGGCCCGGTCTATTACTGGACGGTCAAATATGAAATCATTTTAAGTCATATGGTCAGCATTGACAGCTTCTTACTTAACATCGGCCCTATATATGGCATTGCTTTGTTTTAATTAGAAAACTACCACACATATTTCCTCATTTAAATAACATTTTGTTTCAAAATGCGAAAAAAAAACTGTTTATTATTATTTTTGTTTTAAGATACGATAGTTAGAATTCCGTATTGTTATGAAATACAAATTCTCAGGTGGCAAGCTAACATCGTAGACAGCTCGGAATAACAATGGTATAGTTCGCTCTTATTTTAATACACACTAGGTCGAAATGTCGTTCTTGTAACTTAAACCCCACAATTGAGCCGCGTGGTCGACCAGAAGCAAACATAGAGAATGACGACCTGAATGTCATCCTTGATCAGTTCCATCTCAAAGTGAACTACCTCGCATAGCTGACGTCCGTGAATTAAAAAAAGATGGGTATGTGTGTTCTAAATGAACTGATTTAAAGTATAAAAAGTTACATTTGGAAGGGCAGAATGATGTTGTTCTCTGGACACAAAAACACTTTACTTTTGAATCGAACTGCAACACGTGATGAGAACTGTTTTCAGTACGATTGGACACGGACAAGCCCTGAAGACAAAGCGCAGATTCATCAAAAGAAGCTGATGGTTAGTTTTTGGCGGTCTGGCACAGGCGCTTTGCATTATAACTTCACAAAGCCTGGACCATTGACCACGACAGAAGTTTACAGAAACAAGCTGGACCAAATGACCTAAAAACACTCTAAATTGATCGACTGATCGATGCCTGTTCTACTGCACACGAAGGCTGGACCACACATTACACAAACGATAGTGACGAAGCTGCAGGAAGTTGAGTCAGAAAGTAACTCCCCTCATATTTGTGCGATACTTAACAAAACGTGCTCCAATGACTACAACTTTTTTTCGGAATTTGGGTATCTCTTTCATAGTTGATAATTAAATTCCGACAATGCTGTAATACAGGCTGCCAAGATTTCAACGACTTTCGATTACCAGGTTTTGGCCCCTGTGGTTGAACATACTACGGTCGAAATGGCAAAAGTGAATCGACAATACCGGTTTTGACTTTGATTTAAAAAAACATTCCCTATATTTATGAAAGCTTCACAAGCTTTGCTTTTATAGGTTTCGTAATTAAAAATCCAGTACCCTGAAAACTATAGCATAGGATGCAGTATAGCTGCGCTATTTTCAATTACCCAAATTACCTAAAGGATGGTCAATTGATTAAAACAGTTTAACTATAAGACAAGATTAATTTGATGGTGCGGCATTGCAACCAGCTTTGTTACTTGAAAGCAAACAGCCGCCCTGCTTTCTCAGGATAATTTCTGAAAAGTTAGTCATGCACGCTGAATGCTGCGGAGACATATGCCTATTTTCAAACTCAATCCAGAGAAAATTCCGGTCTTTGTTTCGAATATGCCCATAAATCCATGTCATCCCTTCTCCGGGCGGTTCTTGTTTGCCTAAAATATTGTGAGTGATTTCTGAAATAACAACACAGTTTGTGGGACGATGATTAATCTTTTCCCTGGTCGCACATCAAAGAATATGGAAGCCATGCCTATGTAGACTCCAGCAGCGATCGAAATAGGAAATATTTTTTGTAAGATGCCCCATATAGCCACTTTCTTCATTCTGAGTGGGCAGACCAGCTCGACATTATTCGTTCCCGGATGTGCACCAACATGTCCACATTTACGCGTGTAAAGTTTTCAGTGAAGGAAGGATAGAAGTTATGGGGAGTCTTGCATAACTTGCACAGAACCTCACATAACGGACATATTCGTATGTAATGGACAGCACTTCAAAAAGACGACCAACGACACGATTGCAAGTTGGAGTGTGCCACCTATGTAATGAAACATTATGAAGGAAATTGTGACTATCAGTTGTCTACAAATAAAAGGCTACGCATTCTAATCATTCGCGTAAGGTACTTGAGAAAAAGTCATCTGAACATATGTTTATAAAGAATTTTTGAAATGCTTACAAATTTCTGCCGAAATGTATGCTATCCTCTATTTCGGCGATTTCCCATACTAATAGTAATTAATGAGTCAGTTTGAGCATCCTTGCGTGTTTTGGTATGAAAACAGAGCAATCTTAAGCCTAGGGTTTAATCAGATAAAACTCTTTGCTCCTGAATATTTATTTCTTTAGTCACGTAAATCATATGAAGAAAGATGCAGTCAAGGTTATTTTTAGAAGTTCAGCCTATTTCCCTTAGTCAGCCGTATCCCAAACAATGGAAAAGAGAAAAAAGTATAGGCGCCTCATTAAACCCTGTCAGAATGCATACTCAATGTGTAAGCTGTTTGCCAGGGACCAGGGACCATCGATTAACCCTAAGTTATGGATACGATATGCAGACGACACATTTGTTGCCATAAAAAGGAGCAACTCGAAGCGCTCCACAATACCATCAACTCAACTATTCCGGGCATTCAATTCGCACTCGAGAAAGAGGTTAACAACAAACTTCCATTTCTGGATGTTCTCTTGTAGCGAAATACTGACGGAACATTACAAACATCCGTTTACCACAAAGAAACTTATGCGGAAGTTATTCTAAACTATGATAGCAACAACCCCATCTCTCATAAACGGAGTGCCGTCAATAGTCTGTTGTGTCGAGCAAAGACACACTGCTCTGACGAACAAACCTACCGAATGGAGCTCAATTAATTTTTTGCTTTGTTTTCCCGAAATGGTTACCCCAGAGGCTTTATACGCCGATGCGTGAAACAAAAACAACGCAGCAGTAAAGGAACCAGATATTTCCACTCAAGTGCCCAAAACAAATATATGGCGAGTCCTCCCTTTTACAAGGAATGTGTCTGAACTCGTTGAAAGCCATATGCGGAAACACCAAATAAAAGTGACGCAAAAAACCGATGGCTACTTTACGCACCCAGCTAGTACACCCTAAGGATAGGGTCAGCTACCTCAATATGAAGGAAGTCATCTACAGAATCCCCTGCGGTGGTTTTGATACTGTATATTGTGGCCAAACAGGAAGATCTGTCTCTACACGCATCCGCGAGCACC